CACACACACACATACACACACTCACACGCACACACACTCACACACACTCACACACGCACACGCACTCACACACACACATACACACTCACACGCACACTCACACACACACATACACACACATGCCCTGCTACCTGAAGCCGCTGGGGCTGGTAACTCTGAGGCGACAGGAGAGAGAACAGAGAGGCCTGTGTGGTGGACAGTGAGGACAGAACTCACTGGAGGCCAGAAGGGCATGATGGTTCACGCCTTTAATCCCAGCACTCTGGAAGCAGAGGTAGGCAGGTCTCTGAGTTCAAGGCCAGCCTGGTCTATAGAGTGAGTTTCAGCATAGCCTGGTCTATGTAGTGAAACACTGTCTAGAAAGGAAGGAAGGAAGAAAGGAAGGAAGGAGGGAAGGAGGGAGGGAGGGAGGGAGGGAGGAAGGAAGGAAGGAAGGAAGGAAGGAAGGAAGGAAGGAAGGAGGGAAGGAAGCTATCTAACTGGGAGGCTAAGCTACCTGAAAGGATCTTCTCCTCTGCCGGAACACCAGAGACCGGTGCTGGGCAAGGACAGAGCTCAGAGTGGCTAGTGAGGCCCTGGGCCTGCAGAAGTGTGGCCCCCAGCCACCTCCCCACCCACACTGCCTTCCCAAGACATCTCTGTGGAGATGGATGAACAGCAGCGGGTTCCGAGGCAGCAGGAGAGCAGAGGAGCACCCAAAAGGCGACACAGCCACCCACGACCTGCAAAGGGCAGGTGGCTGCTGCACCTTGTCCTCTCCGTCACCCCGTCTTACGTTAACTCTCTGTAGAATGCCTGTCCCCTTAGAATCCTAAATAATCCCGTGGGAAAGTCATCAGGATTTGCCTGTGGAATCTGAGACACAGGAGAGGACGCCTCTTTCCTGCCCACAGCGGGCCCCTTACTCACCCCCTTACTTTCTTGGCCCTCACAAAAGCCTGAGACTGGGAGGCAAGGGCAGGAAGCAGTTGTCCTCATTCGGTTATACAGATCTGGAAACCGAGGCACACAGGATTCAAGGGCCTGTCTGAGGGTGCCAGCCGACCAGCGCTCTACCCTGCACCTTCTGGTTGCAGGGTGCAGCAGGTGGAGGTCTGGGAAGCTCCCCTTCACAGGGTGGGGTGATGCGGGCAGAGGCCTCCTGCAGGGCTGGCTCAGTGCAGCTTACTGTTGGGCCCAGCTGCCTCGCAGACGGTGACTGGCAGATAGTGTCTGACTCTGGGCCTGATTCTTCGTCTCTAGAAGGGAAAGTGGGGAGATAACATACATGCTGGCCCTGAGGATTTTCTTCCTGTAGCCCTAGACCCTGAAGTGAACATCAGAGCCTCCTGCAAGCACAGGGAGAGAACATGTCTGGCATGTTCATGAGGGGGCTAGCCTTGGCTACCAGGGCCCCACTTCTTTCACTCCTAATCCCCAGCTTCCCTGGGCCCAGCATTCCAGTCTGGGGCTTATAGAACCTTGGATGAAAGGACAGGCAAAAGTCTGTGTGTGTTTGGAGGTGTCTCTGAAAATGATCATTGAGTGTCCTGTGGAGTTTGGGGCTCCTCAATCGCACCACCAATGTCACTGAGGATTTCACCATAGTCACAGCGCCCCAGACATTATGGAGGCTGCTTGGTAGGAACAAGGACGGTGACGTGGGTTCAGACCACCTTCACCAAGTCCCATCCCCCACCAGCCTCAGTGCCATCCATATAGTGGGGACTCCAGGGGAGCTGAGGTGCCTGGTGCACAGCAGGCAACACCACCCTGTACCACAGCTGCTGCCGATCTCAGCCAAGGAGCCAGCAGAGTGACGAAGCTGGTATCTTTTCAGCGGTAGCTGGGGCTGGGCCACCGCGGGCAGCAGCAGCATCCTGGCTGAGTTTGGGTCCCTGCACTTGGAATTCCTGCATCTCACTGAACTCTCTGGCAATCCAGTCTTTGCAGAAAAGGTGAGTTTCCACCACCCCTGTCCCCCAACTCTCTCTGAGGCAAGCACCTTCCCCCACCCCCAGCCAAGGGCTAGAGGGCCGGTGTCTGTAGCTGAGGTTTCCAGGTCTGCCACCCTCCACTCTGGGAGCAGTGACTAGTGGGAAACCAACTGTGCCCAACACCAGGTGGCAGGGAGGGGAACAGAAGCCACCAGAACTCTGCCAGGGAGGTTTGTGCTGGTGCACGGGCTGGTGGCAGATCTGTGAGCCTGTGAAATCTGGAGACTGACTGAGAGCCAGGTTCCTTTTACTGGCAGGAACAGGCGGTGGTGTGCGCGTACCCTTTCCAGGGACATTTAGCTTTTCTCTGGGTGAGATCTCACTGCTTTCCCTCCCCAGTGCTGTCTGGCTCGTGCTGGCAGCAGGCTGGCAGAGCTGCTTCCTCGACACTGTTCTTGGCTGCCCAAGCCTACACAGATGCTGAGAAGTGCGTCCAGGCCATTGCCCGGTCCTGACGACTGTCCATACTGGGTCCTGGGAAGCTCTCCAGAAGGGCTATAGCCCTGGACAATCCCCAGGAGAACATCTGGATTCAGATTTAATCCTGAATTCAAAGGAAGTGTACACATAAACCCCTTCCAGACCCCTCTGAGAACAACCTTTGGGGTTGCACTGTCCCTCTGAGATGGCCCCACACCCTACCTGGTGGTGCTGTCTTGGGCTACCAGCTGTCCTCTGAGTATATCCACCACCACCCCAAACAGCTGGAAGGAAACAGCTTACTGGCCTCCACTTGCCCCAGGCCCTGGAGTCTGCACATTCGTATGAAGCCAGGGCTCCTTAATACAAGATTGGGGACCACTGTCTCCTCTATGTGGGAATCCATCAGGATAGAGACGCTCAGAACAAGCTCCCCGCCCCCTTGAGTGATGCCTCTGACCTGCCTCCGCTCCTATCCAGGGTATGGCCAACCTCTCCATCAGAGACCTGTGCGTCCTATGACCTCACAGATGACTCTAATCACCTGCCCAATGCCATGCTCTCTTACCCTTCACCCAGCCCAGGCGTTCTGTTCTCACTACCCTCCCAGCTGGACTTCCCTGGGAAGCCCCGGCCAGCTCAGGAAAGGGGCCTCAAGAGTACATACTGGCCCTTGCTATGTGCTGGGCATGTTTTATCTTAAGCCCTGTTGGGGGAGGGGTGTCTTCTGCCAAGCCTATCTGAGCGGTAAAGGATAGACTGAGATCTGGAGTGACTGAGTCACCTGCCGGGGCAGCCAGCTAGTGAGAAGCTGAGAACTGGGTCAGGAACTTTCCACCTTCTCTTCTCACAGGGTATCCGAGCACAGCTGGCCACAGCTGCAGCTCCAGACTCCCAGTCCCTCTGGCTCTCTTCATTTGCATACTTCAGCTATTTTTGTCCCCTAGTCACGCCTCCCGCAGAGGCGATTATTAGCAGTCAAAGTTTTACAGCGCCCTGCCCCCTCCAGGAGAGCTAGTAGAGCCTGCTTCCCTGGGTCCCACCAGGACAGGGGAGCATAAGACAGGAACAAGAATCTCCCTGTCCCTCTCACGGTCTCTGTTGCCTTAAAGGACCTGAGGTCCAATGAGGCAAAGCCAAGCGCCTCTGAGGTAAAGGAAGGCTGATGCCGAGGGCTCAACCTCCCAGCTGCCCCATTGTGCCAGTTTATCTGTGAGTGGGAGGCAGTGTGGTCCTGAGGGCTTGCTCTCTCAGAGAGTCCAGTTCTAGTTGACTTGTAGGAGAAGTTTTCCATTGCACCTCGAGCCATGTGCAACCCCCGAGGCTGCAAACCCAGCCTCTGCTGCACATCACCCTCTGCTCGCCCTCTGGGTCTGTGTTGGACCCAGTGACTGTTCCATGCAGGACGAGGTCTCAGAGCAACCTGATTCATGCCCTAGCTCTCTGCTTACACTGGGCTGGGCTGGAGCTTCATCAGGGGTGTTTGCCGAGCATCCGTGAAGCCCTGGGTTTGATCCCTAGCAGTCATAAATAGGACAGGGCCATTCGTGTCCATGATCCCAGCACTCAGGGTGGAGGCAGGAAGATTAAGAGAGCAAGGTCAACCTGAGCTACATGAGACCCTGTCTTTAAAAGAAGGAAACATAAAGCTTACAAGATAACTCCGCCTCCCATCTGAAACTCCGCCCCCAGAGTGGTCTACAGGGTGGTCCTGGCAGAGCAGTCTACAGCGGGATGGTGAGTCAGGCTGCACTTGGCCACATCCCACCATGCTCTGCGTACAGACACAGAACCTGTGGCTCTCTCACCGTCTCCCCCACAACCAGAAAGCTTTAACCCCCATGTGCATCTGAACTCTGCATTTCGTCCTCGTGGGTGGGGAATCGGTGGCTTCTTCAGGAAAGTGACTGCGCCTGGTGTCTCTCACAGGTCAGAAATATCCGCAAGGTCCTCAGGGAGATTGACAAACCCTTCGGCCTCTACCCCAACTTCTTGAGCCCAGTGAGTGGGAACTGGGTGCAGCGTAAGTACCCATGGCTTCTCACCCCATAAGTGTCCATTCGGGCTTCCTGAGCCCAAGTGGGCACTGGCTGAGAGCCAAGGATGGTCACCAGTTCCTGGATTCTCCGGCCTGGACATGCCAGCACTTGCATACCTGATCCTCCCAGACTTATTCTTCTCTCTCTCTCTCTCTCTCTCTCTCTCTCTCTCTCTCTCTCTTTCTCTCTCTCTCTCTCTCTCTCTCTCTCTCGATTCTACCTTCCTCCATGATCCCCAGACTTGCAGGAATGTCCCTCGTCTGGCTGTCACTCAGAAGTGACTGCAGGAAAGGCCCTGTGACCTCCCACTCCCCCTTTGATTTGGCTTTCCACCTCCAGCTTTGATTTAGACAAAATTTTAGGTGGGGCCAAACTAGGCAGTGATCTGAAAATCACTCACTGCTATATTTTAAACTTCCTTCAACCAGTCCTCGGCCTTTCTGCTTTTTCTCTTTAAAGAATTAGCCCAGGCTGTGCCAGAACTCAATCTATAAATTAGGCTGGCCTTGAACTCAAAGATTTGCCTCCCTCTGCCTCCTGAGTTCTTGGATTAAAGGCATGTACCACCACCACCCTGCTGTTTAAAGACTCTTTGAGAGAAGGTCTTCAGGTAGCCCAGGCTGGCCTTGAATCCTCCTGCCTCCACATCCCAAGTACTGAGACGACAAGTGTGTGGCTCCACACCTAGCAACTTTGTCAGACACCTGTGGGGCATCTCCCAAGTCCTGTCCACAGACATAGAGTGGGATGGAAGGCTGACTGGTCCCCAGGCTGGGCTGTGCTCACTCTGTGGAAGAGCCCGGCTCTGGGAGAGTCTCAAAGGCTCAGCCGTGTGTTCAGTCAGCAGGAACTGCACTCTGTGTGTGTGTGTGTGTGTGAAAGAGAGAGAGGGGGGTGGAAAGAGTTTGGGCCTCAGCTCAGGTCACCCAGTCTCTCTCCTGTCTGCTTCCTAGTCTCCCCACATTGGCTTCAGCCTCTCAGGAGACCCAACTCCTCCCACTGCTTAGATCTGCCCAGGATAGTCCACTGGGATCCAAACACACACACACACACACACACACACACACACACACGGACCCATGCATATACACAAACACACCAAACACACACCACACTTACAGACATACACACACAGCCATATGCCACATAGACACACACATATGCACAAACACCACACATATATACACACCAGACACAAAGATATAAGCCACACAGCACTACGCAAACACACATTCTGCAGCATGTGCATGGATATATGACACACAGACCCACGCATATACACAAATACACCGTACACACCGACATAAGCCACACAGACCCACACGTATATACAAACATACCGCACATACGCACCACGTACAAACACACACCACACAGACACATGCATGCACAAAAACACATGCACAAAACAGTACATACACTATATAAAAGCACACACAAAAGTATCCATACATGCTAACAATATACATATCACACAAGCACACCACGTACTGCAGCAGTGGCCCACCGTCCCCAGACAGAGAGGGGATCAACCCTCCCTCTCAGCTCCCACTGCCTCGATCCATACAAACCAGCTTGGTTTCCTGAGGGAGGTCTGTGGCTGGGGTCTGAACTTGCGATGCACTCTTACTCCCTTTTCCCCAGCCTCATATGAAGGCCCAGCATTCACTGTTGGGTTTGTCAGACACAGCCATACCTGTGAACCCTCTGCCACCAGATGAAGACACACACACAGACACACAAATGCATACATATATGGATATATATACATTTGTGTATATTTCCTAGTATTAAATTGTAAATTTTTAATAAAAAAGAAAAACGCATGCTCTTAATCCCAGCACTGGAAAGACAGAGGCAGGTGGACTTCTGTGAGTTCAAGGCCAGCCTCATCTTCCAGGACAAAAAGAGAGAGGAGGGTGGGGGGAGAGGGGAATAAATCAGCCCTTTACAGTTAATAACCAGGGTCCTGTGTCATCATCCTGCTAGGGTCAGATGAACTATGGCCCCGAGGACCCTGGGTGTGGATACAGGACACCTGGCTCAAGATGTCCTGGTTCCCACCCGGGTCCCTTCATCCTACTCATGTGGGATTGTGTGGCAGCTGAGCGAATGCTGGCTAGCTCAGACCACAGAGGTCACCGTCTGAACCCAGCTAGTGGCAAATGTGCTAACCCTTCCTGTCATCTTTTCCTTGCAGATCATGTCTCAGTCGGAGGGCTGGGGGACAGTTTTTATGAATATTTGATCAAGTCCTGGTTGATGTCTGCCAAAACAGACACGGAGGCTAAAACCATGTACTACGAGGCCTTGGAGGTAAGGGAAGCTTCCCTGCCTGCTGAGTGGGCAGCCGTCACCCCTGGGGGCCCTGAGTGCTGGGAGAGGCCGCAGAGTAGGCAGGGAGAGACAGGGAAGGCCTCACCAGCTACAGGCTCCAGAGACATCTGCGCGTCCCTCCCCCATGCTCAGAAACCCGGGCTCAGGCAGGTCAGGCCATTTGTCCAAGATCTCATAGGAAGTGACAGTCTGCTTTAGAGAGCTCAGCTTAAGCCCTCCCCCAGGGGTCTCTGGGTTTCAGCTAATGTGCCAAAGCCCAGATGGCAGCCAGGAGCCCCGGGGCCTCCCAAGTATGATCTTCAGCTGTCATTCTGTAAACCAGAGGTGACACTTCAGGAGAGGAAGTGACATCCAGGAAGTGTGGAGCATGCCCTTGTGCTGGCATGTGGCTGCAAGGTGAAGTTCAGAGAGAGGACACTCGCCCACGGCCACGCGGCACTGAGCTGTCAGCATTAATGTCACTCACTGCTGGTCTACTCCTGGGGTGTGGAGTGACAAGGAGTGGAGCCTGGGGTGAGTCTCCCCAAAGAGAGGAAAATTTAGAACAGAAAAAGGAGTTGGATAGCTGGTCATGACTTTGAACCCAGCTGGTGAAGAAGCCCATTCAGGGGCTGGAGAGATGGCTCAGTGGTTAGGAGCAGTGGCTGCTCTTACAGAGGATCTGGGTTCACTTCCCAGTACCCATATGGTGGCTCACAACCGTCTGTAACTCCAGTCCCATGGGATCCATTGCCATCCTCTGACCTCCCTGGCCACCATGTATGCACATGGTACACAGACATGCATGCAGGTAAAACACTCATACACATAAAGTATAAATCATAAATCAAAAATACATTTTTTTTGGAATCAGAGCTTTTCTGTGTAGCCCTGGCTCTCTTAGAACTCCCTCTGTAGACCAGGCTGGCCTTGAACTCATAGAGATCTGTCTACCACAAGTGCTAGGATTATAGTCATACACCATCAGTCTTGCTAAAAAAGAAAAACCGTGAGACAGGCTTGGGGCCTCAGTTTCCTCATGAAGTTGGTTGGATTCTTTGTCTAATCACGTTGCTCAGAATCACCACTTCACATTCTTTATAGTGAGCTCCTTCCTTCCCCTCTGCCTTGTGACTGAGTCGGTTCTCCACACAGCAGCCATGGGGCTGGAGATGCGTGTTCCTCTCCTCACCAGCTCCTTTTACTCCTGGAGTTAACCATGGCCCTCTCCTTCACCCATGGGCCCCACCAGACTGGGACCCTGCCAATCACCAGACTGTATCACATCACGGTCACGGCTATGCCTCCTCAGATGCACAGGGCATTTCTACCTCACCCTTTGTGCTTGCTGTCCCCTCTACCCAGAATGCCATTCGAATGACCAGGCCCTTTAGACTGGCCAGCTCTTCTCTCATATGCTACTGAAATAACCTCTCTGGCACACGCCCAGGCTTATTCTCTTCTTTACTTGTAACAGAATCTAACACGATTGCTTGCACACATTCGGCCTTCCCCAAATATAGTGTGAGTTCTCTAGAACCAACAATCCGGTCTCTGCATTTACCCCACATGCCTCACTCCTGAAACAGACTGGCACGTGGTAGGCACACAGTCATTGTTATAGGAACCAGTAGGTGCAGAGTGATGGACAAGAAGGGTGAGTGGGTGGGTGGGTGGGTGGATGGATGGGTGGGTGGATGGATGGACAGACGGATGGTTGGATGGACAGATGGATGGATGGATGGACAGACGGATGTTTGGATGGATGAGTGGGTAGGTGGGTAGTTGGATGAGCAGGTGGATAGGTGTGAGTAGTTGCATTGAGGGATTGAGGAATGGATGGATGAATTACCAGATTGCTATAAACAGATGGATGGATGGATGGATGGATGGATGGACAGACAGATGGATATATGGGTGGACATATAGATTATGGACAGATGTGAATAGTTGGGTGGATGGATGAGTGGATGGATGGTGTCTGAGTTTTTACTGCTGTGAGCAGACACCATGGCCAAGGCAACTCTAATAAGGACAACATTTAGTTGGGGCTGGCTTACAGGTTCAGAGGTTCCGTCCATTATCATCAAGGCAGGAACATGGCAGCATCCAGGCAGGCATGGTACAGGAGGAGCTGAGAGTTTACGTCTCATTTCAAAGGCAAACAGGAGAAGACTGGCTTCCAGGCAGCTAGGATGAGGGTCTTACAGCCCACACCCACAGTGACACACCCACTCCAACAGGGCCACACCTCCTAATTGTACCACTCCCTGGGCCACACATATACGAACCATCACATCTGGACTGGTATGGGCATCCTGATGAAAGGATGGACAAATGGGCGCAGGGACTGATGGATGGATGAGTGGGTGGATGTGAACAGCTCAAACGGTTGAGCAGATGTGTGCATGCGTTGGTGTGTGGATGTGGGGGTAGAGAGCTGGGCCAATGGACGGATGAGTAGATACGTGGATGACAGATTGATAGGACAGGTGAATGAGTGGATCCACGCGTGGATGCGCTGATGGGTCTGGGACATTAGATATGCATGGGTGGACGGACTGGTGAGTAGATGAGTGGAGACGGGCAGACTGATATGAGCAGACAGATGGATATAGTGGGGGAGGGGTAGATCGATGTGAATATGTGGATGGACACATGGACGGGGCCGGGCTGGGCTGGGGAGGGAGGATGGATGGTCTCTAAGCACCACTCGATGGTCTGCCCAGACATGGCAGTGCTTATAGATGCTCACTGAAGCAGACATCTGGAGCCACGGACCTCTTAAACTGTGGGTTTGGCAATCTCAGGGGTGAGATGGCTCTGCCTGGCTCGCTGGCGCCGAGCTCCCTGTCATGAAGGGCGGAGCTGAGCTCACTTTGCCTTGGCCCTGTCTGCCCCAGGCTTTGGCTGGCGTCCTCTGTTGGAGGATTAGGTTTTCCTTCTCCTGCAGCTCTCTGCAGAGTAAACACGAAGTTAATGAGTGGACTGACTCCCCGGCCCTTAGGGCACACTGCGTTTGCAGCTTCAAGGGGGAGAGATGACCATGAATTATTTAAGCAGTCTGGGAGCCCCAGAAAGCATGGCTGAGTAGAGAGAACTCCATTCCCACATTTGATCTCCTGTGAGGAGCCTGGGGCTGCAGACCCTGACTGAAGGGCAGGCTTCGGCAGGTCTGAGGCTTTGAAGAATATTCTAGTGGTCCTCGGCCTTGCTGGCACTTTGGAATAGCTTACTCAGACCCCCTTCTCAGGCTGCACCCCAGCAATGGTGCCAGGACCTTGGGGTGGCCCAGAGATGGTTCTCTGGAGTGTCTCAGGGATACCTGTGCAGGCCAGGGCTGAGAACCTGAAGGTTTAACCTGTGTCCATTGAGGTGAGTGGGAGGGTTCAGGTCACCTCATAGACACACCCTTGAGCGTCTTAAGAGGACACTTCAGGAAGCCAAGGAAGATCTCGTCACTGTGACCTCCTCTAGAGAAATATATTAAGTCCCCAGGTTATCTCCATGCTAAAGATAATGAAACGGAGACTCAAAAAGGCCCAGCTATGCCACAGCGAGAGTCAAGGCCCGAGCAGATGCCTGCCTCTTTCTACCTGCATTGGCTGGCTTCAAGTCACTTGTCTCTCTCTAGGAGGACTTGATGGGCTTCCCAAGAAGCATAGGAAGGAACTGGCTGGGACAGGCACCAAGCCAGGCCACAGTGCCTTTCCTTTCAGGCCCTACCTGCATCCTGTGAGCTTGTATTCCCATTCTACAGATGAGCAAAGTGAGTCTTTAGAAAACTGGGATGTGGCTCTAAGATGCCCAGATATGCCTCACTACCACCAAACTCAGCCCCTCTGTACCGTGGCTTGTGGCTTGAACCCTGCCCACCCAGAGCCTGCATCTTCAGGCTTGCTCCACAAGGGCAGGGACCCAAGTTCCTCCCCAGACCCTACATAAAGAGCCAAGCGTGGTGGCATACATTCGTAATCTCAGAGCTGGGGAGGCAGGGATGAGGATCCTTGGGGGGGTCTCACTGGCTGGCTAGTCTAATCAACAAGCCCCAGATCCTAGTGAGAGACGCTATCTCTAAAGGACAAAATGAAGCCGGGCAGTGGTGGTGCACACCTTTGGTCCCAGCACTTGGGAGGCAGAGGCAGGAGGATTTCTGAGTTCGAGGCCAGCCTGGTCTACAGAGTGAGTTCCAGGACAGCCAGGGCTACTCAGAGAAACCCTATCTGGAAAAACCAAAAAAAAAAAAAAAGCAAAAACAAAGGAACGAACCAAAGTGCACAGCTCTTGAGAGCCCTCTGTGGCTGGCCTCTGGCGTCCACATGTATGTATACACATTACAAACATACTCACATGCACCCATGCCCACGTGAGTGTGCACATGTGAATACACACAGAGAATGAAGCTTGGCACTCTGTCTCCAGTGCTCGTCTCTGTCATAGTCAGGACACTGCAGGGAGTCTAGAGGATGCTGTGTCCCAGCCCCACAACATGGCATCCTGGCATCTCCCTGTATATCTGCTCCTCACATCCCACACATGGGGGAAGGTTCTGGGACCCTGGACTCGCCCAGATGCCCACCCCCTGCAGTGACCCTTAATAGAGCAGCTGCCGAGACCCCTGTTCTACCCAGGAGCCAGTGCTGAGCCCGGAGCGACCCCGCCGAGCAGCTGGTGGCACTCCAGGCCACAGCTCGTCCCCCTCGTGGAGCCGGTGCCCTAGGAAGACTTGTCATCTGCCTTTCCCCATCTGCCACCCAGTGTGTGTCCTGCAGCCAACCCCCCAACCCTGGCCCTGACAGGGGAGGAAAAGGAAAAGTGGATCTAGAAGCCAGCCCCGTCTCCATGTGCCAGGCCTGGCTGGTGGCTGGCAGCCATACCAAGCGACACTAAGATAATGGGGGAGGGGCGGGAATTGTATGTAATCATGCTCCAGATAGTTAGCCAGGAGGTAGGAGTAAGAGACTCAGCCTCCTCCCTTTCCCAAGGACCACAGCATGCTGGAGGAGGCCTCCCAGGGCTCGGAATGCAGGATGGGGCACACACAGCCAAGGGCAGAGACCTCTCTGGCCTTACTCCGTAAAGCAGAGCATCCAGACTTTCATCTCCAACTGTCTGCTGATCACAGCGAGTTCCTATGTGCATTTGAATCTTGGCACCCAGAGCTGGGCCCGTCCTCAGTGCTCCAGCCCCTGGCCCAAAAAAGCTCTGTCCCTCTTGGGATAGCCAGAGGGGCCAGGCATGAATGGACCACTGAGGCTGGAAGGGCTGTGGGTCGAGGGCAGGGGACAGGCTGCAGAGGACTCCTGGCAAACATTTGTTGGGGACTCTGATACAAAGAGACAAAGCTGACATAGCACAGAGAGAGTGTGTAACTTGCCCAGTGCCACACAGCACTGATAGAGAAGAGATTTGAACTCACAGAATGTGTGCCCAGGAGTCAGTCTAGAAAACTAGTCACACCTTGGGAGCCAGATCAGGGTGCGTTTGAGGCCTAGCAAGGCCTTCCTACCAAGGATCTATTGAGGTTGTACAAAGGCCTGTGGTGTGATCCAGTTCCTTTAAGAGTCGACTGGAGGCACAGGACCAGTAATGTCCCCGTGGGTCCACAGCTAAAATCAGGACTCATAGGCCTACAGAGGCCAGCTTTGGGCTGTGTGGACAGCACCCATCTTCAGGGTTCCTAGAACTGTCGGCAGGGAGCAGAAGGTGCCCCAACATCATGAGTCATTTCTCAGGAGCCCCTTTCTATTGAAAGGAGCCTGCGGCACTTGCAGCACGAGCAGGGCTCCCGTGGGTGATAGGGGTGAGCCTATCCTCTCACAGCCCCGGCATGGAGAAAGGACTGCTGAAACCCGGGACAGAACAAAGCTTCTGTCCTGATGAGACACGGGACCTCCCTCCCAGGAAGACACTTGGCCACAGGAAAGCTGGGAACTCCAGCATAGGCCAGTAGCACTCAGGCTAAGCCCTTCTAGCTGGCGGTGCGGTGGAGGAGAAGCTTCGTTAATCTTTATTTTAGTCATAGTAATTGTTGTCTCTGGGAATCTGACTCAAGTGGACAAGTTTGCATGCTGATCTCCATTGTAAAGATTTTTCTAAGTGTTCTTTAAAACATCGATTTCATTTAACCTTTAAAACTTTTGCTTTGAGTGTGGGGTGTGTCTGCACACCATGTGCATGCAATGCCTGCAGAGGCCAGGAGAGGGCGTCAGATCCTCTGGAATTAGAGTTACAGATGGTCTCGGGGTTCTAGGAGTGAACCTGGGGACTCTGGGAGAGCAGCCAGTGCTCTTAACCGCTGAACTATCTCTCCAGCCACCAGAAGCAGAAGATTTAAAAGGCCTGTGTTACATCTTAGCTCCTGGCAGGGCCCCTGCCCCACACTGGCTCTGGAGGACAGAGGGCCTGAGAGCACTGCTGCTGTTTCCCCCCAGCTGACTTGTTTCCCCGTCACATTGTCCTCCCCACCCCAGGCCATAGAGACATACCTGGTGAACGTCTCTCCTGGGGGTCTGACCTACATTGCTGAGTGGCGTGGAGGAATTCTGGACCACAAGATGGGACACCTAGCCTGCTTCTCAGGGGGCATGATCGCCCTTGGTGCTGAGGATGCCAAGGAAGATAAAAGGGCCTACTACCGAGAGCTTGCAGCCCAGATCACCAGGACGTGCCATGAGTCCTACGCCCGCTCAGGTAATCCTGCTGGGAAAAAAGCAGCAGTGGCCAAGGCTTCACGGGAGGCGGGGGATTGGAGGGTCCTGGCCGATTGACACCTGAGCCCTGCAAATCCTCTGCCTCTTCTCTGCACCTCATGTGGGCTCTCACCCTGTGTCTAGCCACCCCCTGATTCAAGACAACCCGCAAGCTGGAAGATCTCTGTTTGCACACACCAGGCACTTACCAAAACTGCCAAATAGTCTGTCTGGGGGCATGAGCCCCAAACCTCATTTCATACTTGGTGAAACAGCCCAGAGAGGGGGAACTGCCTTAGAGAAAGTCCCTCTGAATGTGAGTAGCTGAACCAGGCCCTGATAGCCAGTTCTACACACACACACACACACACACACACACACACACACACATTTCTGCCCTTCTGAAAGTGTGCTGACTGGCCTCAGAACCATAGTCTTTGCCATAGGTGGATGAGAGACTCTGCACAGTGCTCTGAGCCTCTGTTTTCCTATCTGTCCAATGAGAGAACAGCATGCAGCTGCCTGAGCCATGCTAGACCCCACAAGCCAGCATCTAACTGGCCCTGCATGAGGCTCTGACAGCAAGAGGCCAGGGACAAGTGTCAGGGCTGGAGCTGGTTCCAAGCGGTTCACATCCGTGCTGGGCCTGAAATTGGCGACCCATTCTTTGCACTGGGATCACTGTGCCAGGGCCATAAACAAACGGGAAATCTCAGGAATAATAAAGAGCTTGCTGTTTGTCTGGGACAATCATCCAGGGCTGTAAAAGACAGCCGCTTAATCAAGCATATTGTCCCAACCAGCCTGGCTCACCCACTGCCGGCTGTGCGGCCACTGCCTCTGTCACCCCATTAGCAACTTGGCAAAAGCACTGTATCCCAGTGGCAGAGCCTCTGAGCCATCTGGGGGCGGGAGTGAGGGCAAAGAAGCTGAGCCCAGTGACTCCTAAGAAGATACATCTCCAGACTGCCAACAGGCTCTAGAGAAAATCCCCCACCCCGGGGCCTCCTGGGTGCCAAAGCCAAGCAGGAGTAAGGACATACCCAGGACTAGAGCCACTGCTCAGCTGGCCTGGACAGGTGTGCAGACAGGAGAGGTGCAGCCTAGCTCAGCCTTGACACGCTGTGTGGCCTTGGATAAAATGCTTGGCCTCCCTGATCCTGTTTCCATATGAAAGAATGATTGCCCTTTGCAAAAAAGAGAAAGAAAAATTAAGGACTGGGGCCCTGGACATCACAAATGGCAGCTGGGTTTGGTTTTTTTTTGGGGGGGGGAAAGGGGTGGGTTAGCATCAAACTCACAGAGATGAGCCTGCCTCCCAAGTACTGGGATTAAAGGCATGTGCCACCACGCCCAGCTGGCTGTGCTCTTCTCTACAATTTTGGTCCAGTGGAGAACAAAAGGTCAGCAGACTGCCCACACACAAAGCCTAGACCCCGTGAAGGCAAACCAGGCAGTGCTCTCCCAGGCTCCTGTCCGAGTGAGCAGCACTGATTGAAGTCAGGGCAGGAACTCAGGACAGGAGCCTGGAGGCAGGAACTTAAGCAGAGGCCATGGAGGGATGCTGCTTACTGGCTTGCTCCTATGACTTGCTCAGCCTGCTTCCTTACAGCATCAGGACCAAGGGTGGCGCTTCCTCTGTTGGGCTAGGCCCTCCTGCCTCAATGATCAGTTAACATAATACCCACAGACTTGCCTCCAGGCCAGTCTTACAGTCAGTTTCACAGTTAAGATCTCTTCTTCTGGGGGTGGGAGGCTGGCAAGATGGCTCAGGGGTTAAGAGCACTGACTGCTCTTCCAGAGGTCCTGAGTTCAATTCCCAGCAACCACACAGTGGCTCACAACCATCTGTAATGGGATGCAACACTCTTCTAATGTGTGTCTGAAGGCATCTGTAGCATACTCATATAAATAAAATAAATAAATCTTTTTTTAAAAATCCCATCTTCTCAGGTATGTCTAGATTCATGTCAAGTTGATGAAAACCAGCCAACATCAGTCCTCCAATACAGGCCACTCAGTGCCTCAGGTGGCAGAGGGTGGGATGGGGGAGGGACTGGTAGCACGTTAGCATAATAAAGATTCTGGTAAGTTCTACAACTCCAACTTTTTCAGGGGGAAGGGTTGAGACAGGTTTCAAAATGTAGCCCTAGTTTGCCTATAACTCATTCTGTAGATCAGGCTAGCCTCAAATTCAGAGATTCCCCCGCTTCTGCTTCCTGAGGGCTGGAGTTATAGGTGTGCACACCACACCCAGTTAAACAGCTGTATTCTTTAAGCTTAGACAAACTTGCTGTGGAGGCTGTGCACAGCTTTGTGCAGCCCCTAGGGGCAATCGACAAGTCTACCCAGTTCAGCCCTCTGCCACGCCCATCCAGGTCAATTCTAGACAGGGTCCAGAGAAGTAGGAAGTGGGGGTTCTGACTGCTTTGTTGATCTGTCTGTCCCACAGACACCAAGCTGGGGCCTGAGGCCTTCTGGTTCAACTCTGGCCGAGAGGCGGTGGCCACACAGCTGAGCGAGAGTTACTACATCCTGCGACCTGAGGTGGTGGAGAGCTACATGTACCTGTGGCGGCAGACACACGATCCCATCTACAGGGAGTGGGGCTGGGAGGTGGTGATGGTAAGTGTGGGTTAGAGGCTGTCCCTGGGAAGTAAGCCTCTGGCTCAGGAACTACAGGGAAGCAGCCAGAGCAACCTTCCAATCCCCCATGGTCTTCCCTCTGTCCCAAGCACTAGTTAGAAACCTGGGCCTCCTAGGGTGTCTTAGTCACTGTTCTATTATAAAGAGACACCATGACCAAGGCAACTCTTATAAGAGAAAGCACTTAATTGAGGGCTTCCTTACAGTTTCAGAGATTTAGTCCATTATCGTCATGGCAGGGAGCTTTGGCAGCAGGCATGGTACTGGAGATGTAGTGAGAGTTATATCCTGATCCACAGGCAGAGAGAGAGAGACAGAGACTGAGCCTGGGATAGGCTCTTGAAACCTCAAAGTCTACCCCCAGTGACACATGTCCTTCAGCAAGGCCACACCCACTCCAACAAGACCACACCTACTCCAACAAGGCCACACCTCCTTATCATTCTCAAGGAGTTCCATTCCCTAAGCATTCAAATAGATGAGCCTGTGGGGCCATTCTTTTTTTTTTTTTTTTTTGAGACAGGGTTTTTCTGTGTAGCCCTGGCTGTACTAGAACTCACTCTGTAGACCAGGCTGGCCTCGAACTCAGAAATCTGCCTGCCTCTGCCTCCCAAGTGCTGGGATTAAAGGCATGCACCACCACTGCCCGGATGAGGCCATTCTTATTTAAAGTACCACAGGGGTAAATGGAAAAGAAAAGGGTAGTGCTTCCAGAAAATTCTGTAATAAGTCCTTTGTCTCTCTTCCTACAAGCCCTTGTGCCCACGGCAGCAAGGGTCACCTGCTTTGGGGACAGGCTATCCTGCAGCACACACTCCAGGTGGGAGGCTGCTTACATTTAGGATTCGTAGGACTCATCCAGGGCCTTGCTTCCCTGAGGCCTTGGTTCTTGACCTTCAAGGCCAAATGTGCTTATGCTCATCCACAGAGCAGAAAGGGGGCCATGTTGGATGTAGAGAAAAGCAGCAGCGAGCCTGAAGGCTTCTGAGTCTGCTCTCTGGATCCCAGCAGTCCCTGCAGATTGCCAACAACCATCCCTGACATCATCACCTCTGTGGTGAAGGTGTTGGTCACCTGATCACCCAGGTCCCTTCAGGTGGAGAAGCCTGGGCTAGACTCAGACCAGGGAATTGCTCAGTTACCTAGGAAAGCATCAGGGCTGGGTTCTCAGAGCAAGTGAAGGCGGGGTGGGCAGGCTGATCCTGGGAAGGACGTAGCTGGACCCCGACGTGGCCGGCCAAGGGTTGGGACCTATGTGTTGTTGAGATCTAGCCACCAGTACATCTCCTCCCCCACACTAAGGCTGCTTCCTTCCTCCAGGCCCTGGAGAAACACTGCCGGACAGAAGCCGGCTTCTCGGGCATCCAGGATGTGTACAGCAGTAACCCCAACCACGACAACAGGCAACAGAGCTTCTTCCTGGCTGAGACACTGAAGTGAGTACAGCTCTTCCTGAGTCAGGGCCACAGCTCAGGAGTCACAGGCAGCAAGCTTGTATGGGGACAGAAGCTCAGGGTCCCCAGGGCGTCTCAGTAGGTTGAGCTCTGGCCAGGTCTAATTCTTCCCAAGATCCTCAACACTGACCACAGGGAGAGTTTCCCAAACCCCTTTACCTGGTCCTTTGCCTCTCTTCATTTCAAAATTAAGTCACATGCCTCCGCCATGTGACATTGATGCTGAGTTCCATTAGGCCTGTCCCCCGTAATCTCTGCAGCCCAGCTTGGAGCCCTGAGCTGTTCCTTGCCCTGGTGGTCCCTCCTAGTAAGTCCTCATGCCAGAGGTGAGTGTTCCCAGAGTCCAGCTGTGTCACTGCCCTGTAGGAATTTAACCGCAGCTTGGGAGCCTACTAACCCTTTGGGCAGACCCTGGGCCACCAGACCAAGAGTAAGTCTAGGCTCTGAAGTTCACAGGGCTCACAGCAGAGCAATCAGTGCGAAAAGAAGCAGTGGGTGTTGGCCAGAATTAAACAGATCTTCTGCACCTACAGCTCAGCATCCTTGTTTCTCCTCAGGACCAGCACAGGCAGTGCCCCCTCCCCCACACTAACTGCTCTCTCCATCCCTGCCCTGCCACACAGATACCTCTATCTTCTGTTCTCTGAAGATAACGTGCTGTCACTGGAAGACTGGGTGTTCAACACCGAGGCTCACCCACTGCCCGTCAACCGCTCGGACAGCTCCAGCATGGCTGGGCACCGCCACTGACCACTGTCGCCACGCCCGTGTCTCAGGGATGCCTCTACTTTCTTGGGATCCGGGACCGTTCTCAGAGACACTGGGGACGGAAGGTCCACTGTGGGCAGACCCTGGACGGATGTGTCGGACAGGCGACTTCTTTTCCTCTGTGAGGAGACAGGAGCTGGTGATGAGCCAGCATGGGCGCCGGGGCTGTGGTCCCTGGCACCCACACGTTCCTTTCTATGGGGGAATTTCTGTGTCCCCACATTTGCTGTCCCTGGGCCAAAGGACTGGAGGTTTGCATATCCATCTCATGTATTTGATTCTGTTTCCTTTTTGGTTTAGGGAGCTCAGTTTTACTGGATTTTATTTTTTTTCTCCCCATTTGAGTTTTATGACAAATATAATTTTCAAAATCATGCACCTTGTAAAGCGGTGTCACCTAACTCAAGGAGACCGTAAGTGTCTTTACACACACTCTCTCTTGACCCGTCTGCTTTTAATGCCTATCGCCCGACCTTGACTCTGTTTCACTTCTTGTCATCCGAGGAGGCGCCCCCCCTTTGCTTTGGTCCCAAATGTTACAAATCACTAATGCTATTTTCATTACTGTAATGGAAAAATATGTGAGATAGAATAAAGGAGTTCATTGAATAAGAAAGAAGACTGGACTCAATGGCCACCAGTGGCTCCTGGGAAAAAATGTTCCAACAGTGTCATCAGAAGCAATCACCAGCTGCCAGCTGAGCTGAGTGTGATTTAGTAAACCGGTCCAGCCTCTCTGTCTCCCTTCAGTTGGCTCTCGTAAATCCAAGAAATGTGAGGCCAGCCCTTTGGGTAGAATTGGGTACAAATACTCTGATGGAGGATTAGGAGAAGCCCAGGGAGGTGACTCTGTTTGCCTGAGGTCACACAGCCAGAAAAGAGACAGAAGTAAGCCTCACCTCTGGGATCTCCTGGCTACCCTGGTCCTTTGTTCATCTGCTGTCAATCAGCAATGCTTGTGGAGCCCCTGCCCCCACCAGGGTTAGATGGTCTCTGTCCTGCAATCCAGGCACTCAGATCATATATGGTGTCTCTACGTCACTGGAATGACTATAAACCATTGAAAATACCAACAAGGACACATGAGGCTGAGGCAACAATAGCCAGGGCCTGGCTGGGGGTTAGGGACAAGAAGGACTTTTAAGCAAAGACCCAGAGACAAGTAGGAGCTATGTGTAGACAAGGACGTGGTACAGTGACATCCTCTAACCCAGACCCCCTTGTCACTCTCTGTGCCATCTCCCTATGAACCCAGAAGCCATCTGCATGGCAAGGAGGCCCAGTCCCTACACTGAAGTGCCAGGCTTTCCTTTCCAACAGACCCACTGGCTGCCTGGGCATAGCTGAGGTCCTGGGTATTGTTGACTTTCCCAGCCCCTTCATTAGACTGTGCTTGTCAACTGGCTATCAAGGTATTGGGGTTCTGGGCCTGGAGACTTCCCCACCCACCCACTGTGTGAGCCAAGACCAGTCACCTCACCTCTCTGGGCTCTTTTCCATCAGCAAAAATTCCACCTGCTGAGGTTGCTATGAGAACCAGCAAGATGCTCCTGATAACCTGTGGTCCAGGATCCACTGCCTCCTTGTTCTGGAGGCTCAGACAACCCAGCTCTTCCTGAGCAGCACTGTGCCTGCACAGTCCCCATAGCAGGAATTCCGGCCCTCAGAGCATCATTCACTTTGGTCAGGTGTCACAGAACGGGATCTCCTGCTCTCCCTAGCACACACATCAAAGGAACGGGAGCACTCGCTGCACTAACATGGTAAATACGGTCACCATCCTACTCTCTGGAATGAATACTGTTATATTTTCTTCTAGACCTTTTTCTATGAATATATAGAAAATATATTTTGCAAACATGGTGTCAGCCTATGCATACTGTTTTCTTATAGCCTGCTTTCGCACTTAACTATATATTGTGGTCATCTTTCCATGTCAAAAAAATATACACGTATGTCAGCACTCTTCCTGGCTGTATAGTCTTCCAACCGTGCGCCGTCTCGTGCTGTGTGTATCTAATGCCCTTACTCGGGTTTGTGTCTTTGGGGATTCTTAGTTATAATTTAACAACAACCAAAACCTGTGTTGAACTGCTGGTGAGCGGCTCCTGGAATCTTGGGAACAAGGTGTTGGATTGGAATTTCGGCTCGCATCAGGATAGACAGACCACACCAGGCCAGTGCAGTTCCACGTGAGAGAGGTTTATTGTGCTAGACAAAAAGGAGGCGACGGAGAAAAGAGAGAGTGGGGCTCAGGAGGATCTGCCTCTGTTTAGGCTGTGACGTAACTGCTCACAGGTAAACGTGGGAGGTAAAGAAAATGGACACTGGGAATGTATGGGGATTGCCATGGCAACAGATGCGCGGGTCTCTGTTGCCTATGGGTGACATCACCATCATCGCTGGATTCGGAAGTGAACTGCAACTGTAAAGTCGGTTCCTTATACCAACACAAGGGAACAGCTAGACCTCAAAAAGAACAAGAGAGCTGGGCGGTGGTGGCGCACGCCTTTAGTCCCAGCACTTGGGAGGCAGAGGCAGGTGGATTTCTGAGTTCAAGGCCAGCCTGGTCTACAGAGTGAGTTCCAGTACAGCCAGGGCTACACAGAGAAACCCTGTCTTGAAAGACAAAACCAAAACCAAAACAAAACAAAAGAACAATAAAAAGAGGATTTGGTGGCCAGGGTTCCTACAAGAACCAGGGGTGGACTTACAGGTCCCCAATAGGATGGCTGAGTCCAAAGTACCCAGATCCTGCTCTGTCTTAGTTTCGCTGGGCTTAGCCTGGGTGCCAGATGGCCCATAGTCAAGGGTGGAGAACCGTTTTGATTGGCACATCCACCAAGGCCTGAGCATCAGATGTTTGTGGAATGCAAACGTGGTACACTACCTACATACAGGGCCCTGAGCTGCGTGGTCTCACTTGCCAGGCTTTTTCCAGAATGGTAAAGAGTTATGACGAGCATCCTGGCCTCTCCTCCTCCCAACATGCCCGGCTCTTCCCTGGGTGGTGCCAGCTAGAATGTCTCTCCCTCTAAAGTCCCCAGGATCCCCGCTGGGCCCATGTCACACCCTTGTCCTTTGTCTTTCTGCTGGGAGCAACTTGTAAAAATGGCTATTTTATCATCCATCCTCCAGGAGGGTGCAGGTGGGGAAAGAGAATCCTCTCAGTACAGAACACCACACCCGGGATAAAAATAAAGAAGGCCTGAGGCAGCTGAGGACCGACAGGCACTGGGGGTGACTCAGATCCCTGAGGCAGGAGAGGGCCTATGGCAGGCCTTAGGCTACCCTTCCCTACAGCCGCCTGCAGCTTCAGCCCAGCTTCACCTCCCAAATAGCTCAATGCCTGCCCAGGCCCTGAGCCCTGCAGCATCATGGAAAACCGAGAGCGCAGTCTGGCCAGGCACTTCCATCAAACCGTGTGTGTGTGTGTGTGTGTGTGTGTGTGTGTGTGTGTTCAGATGTGCTGGGGGTGCAGGAACCAAAGCTGGTGGCTGGGGAGATGGCTGAACCGGTAAAGTGCTTGTGCACAAGCCTGAGGACCTGAGTTCAAATCCCACATATCAGCATACCCAGGTAGGGCCCCGCACTGGATGGCACTTGTCTGTGATCCCAGAGTTGGGGAGGGGAACCAGCAGATCTCCAGAGCTCACTGGCTAACCTGTCTAATCAAATTAGTGAGGTTCAGGGAGAGACCCTGCCTCAAATGTATGGTAGCGTGGAGGCTGGAGTGACGGCTTGGGTTAAGGGCGTGCACCCTCTTACCCAGGACCCAGGTTTGATGGTCAGCACCTGTGTTGCCGCTTCCCAACCGCCTGTAACTCCAGCTTCACATAATCCAGTGGCCTCTCCTGGTCTCCTTGGGTACCTGCACTACTCACACATGGACGTACCCACACACAGGCAGAATAAAAGAATGTTTTTAATGATAGAGAAGAGAGGAAGATACTGAATGAAACCTCTGGCATCCACACACATATCCCCATGTGGGTGTGTGTGCTTGCTCATATGTGCATGCTCACTCACACGCACATGCAAGCTCACACACACACACACACACACACAGAGAGAGAGAGAGAGAGAGAGAGAGAGAGAGAGAGAGAGAGAGAGAAACTAGAGCTCCTCAGGGAACACCCTGAGGGCAAGATGGGTCTCTCATGCTAGGCATGCAGATTTGGCACTCTCCTAGTTTGAGCTAGGCCCTGGGTTCTGTCCCCAGTATCTTCCCTCACGCCTGGGAGGTGACGGTCAGTATAAGATGAGGTCATAGCTGTCCCTGTAGGGTCTTTCCTGGCACCTGTCTATGGTCTGTGTGACTCAGCTTCCTTACTCACTGGCTGCCGGGGGCAGAGCTCTGTGGTTGTTCGGCTGGAAATGTGCTCACTCAGTTCCCTAGGTTTGAGTAACATTTCCACCTGCTCAGCCTGCCTCCTAAATCCGAGCTTCTCAAACTAACCGTGCACAGGAAGCACCCGTGGACCTTGTGAAAGAGCAAAGCTGGGCAGGCAGCTCAGCGGATACAGTGCCTGCCTCCCAAGGTTCAGTACCTGGGTTCAAATCCCAAGAACCCATGTAAAAGCCTGTCTCAGAAGGTTGAGTGCAGCTGAGGAAGATGCCCGACGTTGACCTCTGATCTCTGTGTATACACACACACACACAGACACACACAGACACACACACAGACAGACAGACAGACACACACAGAGACACACACACACACACAGACACACACACACACACAGACACACACACACAGGCTATTATGGGTCTTGATTCCCTGCCAGACATGAATGCACCAGGACTCTGAGCAGCCAGGCCCTGGTCTGGGGTCACCCCTTCATTGGCTGGCTTCCCTTTATACCCCTGAAGTTTCAGCTACTCTAGGAGATGGTGCAGGGACAATTATTATGGTACCATCTATAGGTACCTGAGAGAGCTATATCAAAACAGATGTGCCCCATGATGTCAACTCTGAACAGACAGCAGGGGAGACAGGAGCAGGCAGCTGGCAGCTGAAGGGCTGGCCGGAGGGATTTCCTGAGGTTCTGTGGCCCAGGCTTGGCCACGTGCCTCAGAGCCCAAGCACAGTGCCAGGCGCAACAAAAGTACAATTTTAATGTTTTTCATTTCAATTTAAACAGCCACATGTGGTTGCAAGCTGCCATTTAGCCGGCACAGAATTAGAACTTTGAAAGCAAGTGTCCTCCTCAGACCCTGCCAGACCCTCAGGCTCAGCTCTGCTGAAAAAAAAAAAAAAGATCTTAGCACAAAACGTTCTGTTTGGGATCGCAAGTGTCCCCTGGTACACAAGTGCTTATTTTTATACTGATTTCTCCTTTGACTGCCGAGCACACCCCTGGGTTTTGTCCTATTTTGTCTTTTTCTTGCTCACAGTTTGTCTGCAGATGGCTGAGGTAGGTCAGGGTCAAGCTGACAGAGGACGGAGTCACCTTACCAGAGGGCCAGCCCAGTCTCTGAAGCCAGGTGAACCTATGGTCAGCTGTGCCCTGTCCTGAGCTGTGTGACCTTGGACAACCCGCTAACCTCTCTGAGCCCAGCTTCTCAGTTGGTGGAAACACTGGGGATTCTGTGAATGCACCCTGTGGAGTACCATTCACATCTGTGACAGTTGTTATTGTTACTATGCCAACGTTTTTGTAAACTATAGAACCCCCACTTAAATGTGAGGCAAAACACTGCCATCGGAAGTTCTTCTTTTTTAAACACAATGCTTTGAAACTTAGAGAAAACAGCATGAAACAGACCCAGGAGATGGAACAAACTCTCTGAGCAATAAATCCAAGTGCTTTTCTGCTATTCTCATTGAGCAAGCGTTGGCCATTAGCCCCGAGTTGGTTGAAATTGGAAAACTGCAATGATGATTTGCTAGCGGCCCAGGGGCTCAGGCTGACGTCAGGTGGAGGCGACCAGGCCCCTAGGGGCTGCCAGGGAGAGAAAGCACCAACCTGGAGACCCCTCCTCCCAGGGGGTGTGGGAGGCTTCAGTCACTCTGGTTCTAGTTTCTTCCTGCTGCTTTGGGAGGGAAGAGACTCAAGAAAAGCTAATACCTCACCTTACCTGCAAAGCTGTAAGTTGGCTCAGGCCAAACATCTGTTCCCAGGGGCTGCTGGTGTCCGTCCACCCACCCCTCCCCCCATTCTCCACATGCTTCATTTGCCACCCCAAGTCTAGACAGCTCACATTTCACTCATTGGATGAGGACGGTTGTGTTTTATTAGTTTCTGAAACAGGGTCTCATGTAGCCCATACTGGCCTTGACCTCCCTACCTCTGACACAACAGAGCCGTGATGCCCCCCATATGTTGTAGAGCAGAATCTAAGACAGTGAGTTTCGAACCAGCGGCCCATCTGACTTTAACTATTGGAAGATGTCAAACTGATGTTAGCGGCTTGTGCCGAACTCTCAGCTCTCTCCATTTTCCTGCCTCTCCTGGTCCTAGATGGCAGTGTGTGTGTGTGTGTGTGTATGTGAGTGTGTGTGTGGGGGGGGTTATGCAGAGAAAAACTCTTGGATCAGGCATTCAATGCTCAACACTCCAAAACTCTCACCAGGGAAACCTAGCTGGTCCTCAACTCTGCCCAGGGATACCCACAACCAGCGAGGGGTGTGGCTGGGTCACTGGTTTTGGTCAAAGGGCCCAGGAAGCTGGTGGGTAGTGAAATCTGCTAAGCCAGGTTCTCTGTCCCCACCAGGCTACAAACAACATTCACCTGGGACATCTTTGGGCATCTGCTACCTTTCTTTGAGGAGTCACACAGAAACATCAGAAGACAAACTTCTCCAAGCCCCTCCCAGTGCCTGGACACCACAGGAGCTGTGCCAGGATCTTCCAGGCCCCCCAATACAGACTTCCTTTCTAGATAACCACAGTCCAGTGTTGTCTGTGCTGGTGAATCCAGCTCAAGCCACTTGCCACCCCGAGCCACAGTGGTGTCTGCATC